AAAAAAATTAAAGAACAAAGAAAACCACTAAGGATTCAGTATATAATTTATATTGAGAGTGATTCTAGATTATCACATTAGAACATAACCTCTAACAATCACTGTGATCTGTTGTTTCAGGTTGACAACTAAGAACATTCACATGATTTTATCTCTTTATTTTGCCATTGAAGAAATCAATGGAAACCCTCATGTTTTGCCCAATATTTCCCTACTAGTTAAAGTTGAATGTAAACTTTTGTCTGATCGAGGTAAAATCAGTTTATCCTCAAAAAGGGGTGATTATTTTCCTAACTACCACTGTAGAAACCAGAGGAAATACTTAGTGATACTTACAGGACCAATGTGGTTGCCATCTGCCATGCTTGGACCAATCCTGTACATTTCCAGAATTCCAGAGGTGAGGTGGGCTGATTTAGATTTCATGAAACACTGTCTATTTTCATTCTAGTTTTCTTAGTTCCTTGTTAGATTGAAAGGTAGAAAATGAATTTATGTCTATTCTTGCCTATAAAGTTCCAAGCATAAGTGCTCAAATCTTCTAAAGAGTACATGAGAGAATCTTATGGAAAATAGAACAGAGAGACATCTGTAGCATAAAGTATTTTGCTGGAAGAATAAGTGTAACTCTTCTTATTAAGAAAAATAATAAAAATTGGATTTTAACGAATATTTAATATGATGAATAACAATTTTCCAATAAGGCCAGATTTTTGTGAAACATATACTCATATTTGTGTACTTGATCTTCTTAAAGGATTTTTAAAAATTTTTTAATGTCTTACAGCTCTACTATGGGCCATTTCATCCTCTCCTGAGTAACCATGAACACTTTCCTTTTCTGTACCAGATGGGTATCAAGGATACATCTGTGGCTGCTGCCATGGTATCTTTGGTGATCTATTTCAGCTGGCAGTGGGTGGGACTGATCATTTCAGATGATGACCTAGGACTTCAATTTGCCTCTGAATTGAGAGAAGAAATGCAAAGAAGTGGCATCTGTTTAGCATTTGTAACTATTATCACATATGACATAAAATTATTCTTTAAAAATATTTATGTATATTACAATCAGATCATGATGTCTACAACAAAAGTTGTTGTCATATATGGAGACAAAGACTCTCATCTGCAAGTGAACTTAAGACTATGGCAGTCTGTAAACATTCAGAGAATCTGGGTCACTACCTCACAATGGGATATGATTACAAGTAATGGAAAATTGCTCTTCAACTCCTTACATGGGACTCTCAGCTTTTCACATCATTATTCTGAGATAGCTGGCTTTAAAAAATTTATTCAGACAGTGAACCCTTCAAACTACAGTAATACTGTTTCTCTTGCTAAATTGTGGTGGCTATATTTTAATTGTTCTTTGTCATCATCTAATTGTAAGAAACTGAAAAATTGTTCAGAAAAAATGCTACCAGAGTGGTTATCCCGGTACCAGTTTGAAATGTCCATGAGTGACACAAGTTACAATCTATACAATGCTGTGTATGCTGTGGCCCATTCACTCCATGAGTTACTTTTGCAGCAAGTAGATACATGGTCAAAGAATACTGGGAAGGGACTGGAATTTGACTCCTTGCAGGTAATGTGTCTTTATTTAAATAGATACCCAAAAGACACTATGGCCATAGATAACAATGTATCCATGATAAACATCTGATACAGATAAGGAAATTGTTCATGAATACTCAAGAAAGAATTAAGCAGCATATATTAATGATGTTCAGTATTAAAAAATAGAAACAACTTGAATAATACAATGTTCAATGAAGTCTTTGAAATGAACTTCTTAAAATCAACAATTGATTCTAAAACCATGTATCTAAGAACATTTCTCCCAAACTGGTTGATTTTTCTAGTCTCTCGTGGCCTTTAAGGCAAAGCACATTAGTGGTATAAATTATGATCCAGCCAACACTGGCAAAGAAGTCAGTACCATGGATTGAAAGAAAATGGCCCCCATGGAGACTAACACTATTAGGAGGTGTGGCTTTGTTGGAGTAGTTCTGGCCTTGTTAGAGGAAGTGGATAACGGTGGGGATGGGCTTTGAGTTCTCCTATGTTCAAACTATGCACAATGTGGCACTCATTTCACTTCCTGTTACCTGTAGATCAAGAGGTAGAACTCTCAGCTCCTTTTCCAGCACCATGCCTGCCTGCGTGCTATCTGCCATGATGATAATAGACTAAACTTCTGAACTGTAAGCTAGGCCCAATTAAATGTTTTTCTTTAAAAGAGTTGCCTTGGTCATAGTGTCTCTTTACAAAAAAATAGAAACCCTTATAAAGGCAGCATTTGACAGTTGAAGCCAATAATATTGTCCAGACTATGACTACCATATAGAAATATCATGTATTTAATAGCTGGGAAAAAACACTTTGGGCTCTCTTGGGAATTTTTTTTTTGTCTTGGTTTTTTGAGACAGGGTTTCTTTGTGTAGTTTTGGAGCCTGTCCTGGAACTTGTTCTGCAGATAACGCAGGCCTTGAACTCACAGAGATCTGTCTGCCTCTGCCTCATGAGTACTGGGATTAAAGGCATGTGCCACCACTGCCTGGCAAAGGAAATCTTTTTTTTTAAATAATTTATTTTCATGCATTATATTATTTGTGTATTTGTCTAAACATTATTTAAATAGAACCAAGAAAATGCCTGGTAATTTAAGTGGTGCAACTGTTGGTTATCAGTGTAAAAATAGTTCCCAACTGAAATTAAGTCTTTCTTCCACTGACCTGGGACCTCAACTTTAGCTGCTATAAGATAATATTGATAGCAGGAAGAAGTGGAGCATATCATTAATTGTGTATTTTTTTGGAGCATTAATGTTAGTTAAAAACTGATATGTTTAAATCTTAATAATGGTATTTTACTTCTACATGAATTTTTATCTCCTTTTATTAAGTTAAGTATACAATTGAAAATCAGAGGAAATCTACATTTCATATTTTCTGTCCTGATGCATAGGCATAGTTCAAACTAAAATAATAAATGTGTTTTAGGTTGTCCCTTTCCTGAAGAACATCCAATTTGTAAATCCTGCTGGAGACTTAGTGAACATGAATAAGAAAGCCAACCTGGATACAGAGTATGACATTTTCTTCACTGGAAATTTTCTACAAAGTTTTGGACTTAAGGTGAAAATAGGCAAGTTTTCCCAATACTTGCCACATCTACAACAATTGCATATGTCTGATGAAATGATAGAGTGGGCTACAGATATTAGACAGGTATGTTAGACTTAAATTTAATACTCCACATGTAATAGAAGAAACTTAATCTTTTGATGGTCTTGTTTTTCTTGAGGGGATATGCATTAATGTTTAGCCATTTATTCATGAACCTAAATTTCCTTTCATGATTTGCTATCTTTCTAAGAGTTTTATAGACAAATATGCTTGTACATGTGCATGTACATGCATATATAAAATGGATACTTTATAACATACAAATCAAAAACTTCAGAATAAATATCTCAACCTACAATTAAATGATGCATTACAATTTAATCTGTGTTTGTAAAAGGAGTTTTTACAATATCGTGATGTTCTAAGTCCCTGTATCTTTTGCCCAATAACTAAATTGCTAATTCATGTGTGTTTTTTCATAGACTCCACCTTCAATATGCAGTACATCTTGCAGTCCAGGATTTAGAAAATCCCTTCAAGATGGACAGGCTGTCTGTTGCTTTGACTGTACCCCCTGTCCAGAGAATGAAATTTCCAACATGACAGATAAGTACACATTTTACTAAAAGTTTCACTGGATTAATTAATTTCTCCAATTATTGTATAATTCACAGAGAAGTCTTTATTGGAAATTAAATGTTTAATATTATCTTTAAACTAAAAAAACCAATAACTCTGCTTCTTGTAATAACACACACATACACACACACATATATCTCTTTCTCAACTTGTAGTTTTGACTCCATGTGGAATCATTGCACATAATAGTTTATTCTACAAACTGTTTTAGAATATTAAACTATAGCATTTATCCTCAGCTCAGAATTCAGGATTTAGGAATACATTGTATCTATTTTTTGTCTTTCTCAAGACATGAGAATGAACGCCTTTGATTTTGGAGTCATGACCTCTGTGACAAGGTGTAGATACTCAGGGATGCTTCATTCTTTTTGAGAAATATGTGTTTTGTAATGTGAGCTATGGAATATGATGTTGTCACTCAGTAGGATGTATTTACAATTGTATTTTGGTTCACTGTGAAATTTAGAAATCCACATATAGAAATATGAATTGATGCTTTCATTATAATATTGGGAAATTAGTATATACATGGACCATTTGGATTGAATATGTGGTAATATATTCATTAGGATATAATTCCAATGGAATCTGTGAAAGTAAAGTTAATTTTAATGTACCAAGCAATTAATGAATGGAAATACCTTCCATTGGAGTAATGAAATATAGAAAAATATAAACATAGATTTATTTCATCCTCAGATCAGTGTGAAACTGGGGAATAATGGTTTGAACATTGGAAAATTGGAAATTTGATAAGGGTGTGGATTTCAGATGAAGAAATTTGTACTGAAATTCCAACATTTGTGGTTAAAGATCACAGTGAATAATGCAAATAAATAAAATATTTTATTGGCATATTGTATACAGAAACAATATTAAATTCTTGGATGAAACTATGGCAGGAAAATCAAATACAAATTGAGAGTATCATTTATTGTCATAGTGCTGATTGTACCAGGAAATTCTACAAAGAAACATGTTGTTATGCTTACTCTTTCATGAGTATAAGAAAAAGTTTGAAAATATAGCATTTTAAAACTCTGAATAATTGTAAAATCTCTAAAAACTTGATTTTAAAAAAATTCTGCCTGTCAGTTTAGATAAGGCCCTAGAGGAAACTGGGAGAAGTTGGAAATGACTGAAACAGAATGTGCTTTCCTGGATGGAAAGACACAACACTAGAAATATCTTCACTTGTCAGTCTAATCAGTTGAGACAATGAGATTGAAAGAAACCTGTCTATATTATGGTGACAATAACAAAAATGCACATGGAGGATCATCTTTACCCTGCCCAGTACTAAAGTCACATATATGTCCTTGAGAGATGCAGAGTTACCTTGCTTGTGATTTTTTAATAAATAATAATAATAAAGAACAGCTGTTCTTTCAGGGAGGTATAATGGTGGCACATGAGAAAGTTGCAGACAGAGAACAACCAGTTTTGACAGCCAGTAACCCCATGGCTTTTCCAGATGGGTCTCCCCATCTGGGAGTTATCTGTCTACTTGGTTGCCTTGTCAAACACTAGTTGTCACCTGCTATATACTCCCACAGCCCTCTGCAAAAATTCATACATTGAAACATAAAAATAGGGCCACATTTTTAATGTGTACTCTTCAGACATAATTGGTTCATAAATCCCCTGCTTTCCTTGGCTCTATTAAAAGAAAATTTGGCCGGGTGGTGGTGGCGCACGCCTTTAATCCCAGCACTCTGGAGGCAGAGCCAGGCGGATCTCTGTGAGTTCGAGGCCAGCCTGGACTACCAAGTGAGTTCCAGGAAAAGGCACAAAGCTACACAAGAGAAACCCTGTCTCAAAAAACCAAAAAGAAAAGAAAAAAAAAGAAAATTTAAATCTAGAGATGGATTGAATAGAGTGTGTATGTCTAAGGAGCCACATCAGGGCATGGGTGTTTTAGTCTTATCATATGGCTGATAGCCAGGCAATAATGAGTTAGTGAACTGAGCAGGCTATAGAACTGTGAATAATAAATAAATGATTCTATGAATTATGCACTCCAAAGTATTTTCTTATGACAAGCAATATATATTTTCATACAGCCTACAGTTTTATTTCAGCTCACTGAATGTGTTGAATATGTAAAAATTGTAAAGAATTATGTTTGTTTAGTCATACATGGGGTTCATAGAAGTTGAAATTCAAGATTAATTCTCATAAGTTACTACACTGAAATATCACCTGTGACAACAGGAAAGGTCACTTGCCTAATGCATTTTATTGCATTGATAAAACATTTTAAATGTCTGATGCATAGATATATACTTGAATAATAGATAAATATTAAACATGTTGATACATTTTTCCTTAAACAGACATGGATTATTGCTTGAAGTGTCCAGATGATCAATATGCCAATACAGAAGGAACTCACTGCCTTTCAAAAATTGTGACATTTCTGTCTTATGAAGATCCCATAGGGTTGGCTCTGGCCTGTTTGGCTCTGTGCTTTTCTGCTTTTGCAGCTGCTATATTTGGTGTCTTTTTGAGGAACCAAAACACTCCTATTGTCAAGGCCAATAACAGAGCTCTCAGCTACTGCCTGCTGCTGTCACTCATCTGTTGTTGTCTCTGTTCCTTGCTTTTCATTGGAGAACCACATAGAGCCACATGCATCATGCAGCAGACCATATTTGCAGTTGTGTTTACTGTTGCTGTCTCTACTGTCTTGACCAAGACAATTACAGTAGTACTTGCCTTCAAGGTCACTGTTCCAGATAAAATGATGAGGTGGCTGCTAATATCAGGGACATCTAATTTGATCATTCCAATATGCACCATGATTCAACTGATCCTCTGTGGAATCTGGGTGGGTACTTCTCCTCCATTTGTTGATGCTGATGGGCATGTTGAGCATGGCCATATTTTGATTATTTGCAACAAAGGTTCAGTTATGGCCTTTTACTCTGTCCTGGGATACTTGGGTTCTATTGCTCTAGCAAGTTTCACTGTAGCTTTCTTTGCCAGGAATTTGCCTGACACATTTAATGAAGCCAAGTTCCTAACATTTAGCATGCTGGTGTTCTGTAGTGTCTGGATCACCTTCCTTCCTGTATACCATAGCACCAAGGGCAAGGCTATGGTGGCAGTGGAGGTGTTCTGTATCTTGGCCTCCAGTGCAGGGGTACTTCTTTGCATCTTTGCTCCAAAATGCTATATTATTTTGTTAAAACCTGAGAGAAATTCTTTTCACAAGTTTAGGGACACACATGCTAAATAAAGTTTAAAATTCTCATTGAATTTAACTAGCATTTCCTGTAACAAACAGGTATAGAAGAACACACAGCTTATACTATTCATCAAATTTCAGGTCAAATATGAGATTTGTTTTCATGTACCATAGTAGAAAATAAGCTTCATACTAGACTTCTAACATGGGATTGGGCCCTCAGTTTTCATGAGTCAAAGCCTTGGGATGAGCCATTTCTTCATCTTTAATACTTGTTCTCTCTAATATTTGTCAACTTAATAGTTTGATAAATTAAAATTGCCCCTTAGTTTTAAGAATTTTCTCTTCTATTGTCATTTCTTTGTAGAAATTGTGTATCATTGTTGAGTTACATAATATATATTAGTAGAAGGACAGTATATAGATGTTTGTTAAATTGAAAAAATATTTATGTTTACACAATAGGTAATATATCCTCCATCTAAAGATGATACAGCTGATGAATCTATGGGGTAACGAATTACTTTTTAATTTGATTTGAGGTATATTGCACATGTTAGTATTTCACTACCTATATAGTAATACTCATAAAAATCATAGCTGGAAAGTTTCTAGGACCTATAGTAAAACACTCTTTTATATCAGCATGTGACTATGCTGTCCGTTTACTCTATAAATGTTTCTGTTGGCAGTCAGAATCCTATCCTTTTCTCAAACAAAATCAGAGAAGCTTATTCATGTAAAAGTCTATAGTTAATGGAATGACATTTACCTGCACAAAACACTGATAATAACAGACTAACAGCTCAGACCTAAATGGGACATCTATTTAAAACTCCTTACTGTAAAACATCATGGAATATTATGAAAGATAAGAATGGATTATTTAAAATTCTGATAATGGAAAGGTGTTTTGTAATACGCTTTCTTGAAAATTTTGGCTATTTCATCTGTGATACCTACAAAAACCTGCTTATGATTGAAAAAGACAAATTCCTAGTTCTTAGAAAGAGTACATCTTTGTAAGGCTATTGGTAAAATTATTATGGCCACTCCACATAGATAAAAGGAAGATTTATTTAGTGGGTAACTTACAAAAAAGGGAAAGGTAGGTCATGGGGTCTGGGGAAGGTGTACTGAAGTCCAGCGGTGTTCTCTGGAGCTCTGCTAGGTCAACATCCATCATCTAGGGTCCAGGAACAGAGAGAGCAGGCTGGCCCATCCAGATCTCTGTTCTCTCGGCTCCTCCCATGGCCCTGCCTTGTAGGCGTGACAGTTGCCAAAGCCTCAATGGGGGTTGAAATTTCCAGATCAAAGCTGGAATAGCTACCCACTACATCTCCCCTTTTTGTCTAAATAAGAAGGTTCTAA